CATAGACTGTATAAATAAGTGAGTCTCTTTGTGATCAGACTTTCTAGATTCTACAAATAAATGAGCTGCATTTGTGATTGGACTTCATAGACTTGTATAAATAAGTGAGTCTCTTTGTGATCAGACTTCCTAGATTCCTACAAATAAATGAGCCTGCATTTGTGATTGGACTTCATAGACTTGTATAAATAAGTGAGTCTCTTTGTGATCAGACTTCCTAGATTCCTACAAATAAATGAGCCTGCATTTGTGATTGGACTTCATAGACTTGTATAAATAAGTGAGTCTCTTTGTGATCAGACTTCCTAGATTCCTACAAATAAATGAGCCTGCATTTGTGATTGGACTTCATAGACTTGTATAAATAAGTGAGTCTCTTTGTGATCAGACTTCCTAGATTCCTACAAATAAATGAGCCTGCATTTGTGATTGGACTTCATAGACTTGTATAAATAAGTGAGTCTCTTTGTGATCAGACTTCCTAGATTCCTACAAATAAATGAGCCTGCATTTGTGATTGGACTTCATAGACTTGTATAAATAAGTGAGTCTCTTTGTGATCAGACTTCCTAGATTCCTACAAATAAATGAGCCTGCATTTGTGATTGGACTTCATAGACTTGTATAAATAAGTGAGTCTCTTTGTGATCAGACTTCCTAGATTCCTACAAATAAATGAGCCTGCATTTGTGATTGGACTTCATAGACTTGTATAAATAAGTGAGTCTCTTTGTGATCAGACTTCCTAGATTTCCTGAGTGAGTCAGATTCTATAGACGCTTACAAAATGAGTTTGTGTTTGCAATAAGATTCTCTAGATTCCTTCAAATAAATGAATCTGTTTGTGATCATCTTTCCTAAAGTCAATTAAATAAGTAAGTCTGTGATTGTGATCAGACTTCCCAGATTTTCATAATTAAGTGTCGTTTTATAAATAAACTTTCATAAATAAGTTTGTTCATGCAGGGGTTCTTCTTGTCAAAATATATTATCCAGGTCCCAAATACCAGACAGTCAACATTCCTAACCACATTGCAAAATTTAGCTCTGCTTGGCACATACATTAGGTACTTTCTCACCAGGAACAAAACACATGTTCATGATTGCATTCACATGTTTTTGATATTTTTCAGGTTGTGTGATTAAAAGGGCCATTTACAATGCGAAAGGCGCTGACCAAGTTCCACATTACGAATTTTGGATGTCATTACCTGGTCTTATAAAAGACGGATGTGCATTTGTTGCCGGATGCTGTCAAGCAAAGCAGCCGCAACACAATTACGATCAAATGTGAGTTCTGGGGTATATGTACATGTAGTATAAGAATAAAAATGTGACACATTGTCTATTTATAGGAATATTTGATGATTGACAAGATGATTATCAGGGGTTTTTCTAGCAAAAATGAACAAGAGGGAGCAACACAGGCAAGGGAGTGGAGCGACGCCATATCCGAAGATTTTTGCGCCGTTTTAACGGTGTACCTATCGCCATTGACATATTTTTGGAGAAATTTTAGTGTATTTGGTGTCCAGACACATTGTCAGCTGGTGTTGCTGGGAAGTTTTCATGGAGAAAAATATATTTGAGAAAGATATCAGTTTGTATGGCAGCACGGAAGTGCACGGCTCAAGAAATATATTTATGACTTAAAAGTTCAAGCGACAATTCGGTAAGAGGGCGCCAGGCGAGAGTATCAGGACTTTGCGCCCCTGTTCCCCGGTTTAGAAAAAACCCTGATTATCATCTGGAAATTGTTGTAAGATTTGTAATGCCATACTCTCGATGAAATGTCACTGTATTGCTCTACTAGAAACTCGTGCACTTTTGTAAATGTTTAAAATAGTCGCAGTGAAAGACACAAAGCTGGGACGTAAACGTATTTATAAAAATTTGTAAATGCTGATCATCAGTTTACATTTCAATTAAAAAAATTTATAGTGTTTGGCTCAAGAGATAAACATTATCAACACCCCTAATGTGCACACATGTCTTCACGTGACTGCCAACCCATTCAAAATGAGGTATTTGCTGATTGGACAATGTTGATAATGTCATTAATATAAATTAGAACTAATGTTGATGTCAATTTTAATAACCACAGCTTTCTGCCCTTTACTGTAAAATAAGTGATTTTATTGTGAGGTTGATGTGCTTCCATCATTTCATACCTGAGTTACTGTTATAAGGTACTGTAAAACATGTTGAAAAAGCGACATACTATTTTAGCGAATTGTTGTAAAATGACGTAATAGCGAAATGTCGATTTAGCGAATCTCTCTTGTCTTTGTTGATTTCCTGTTTTCACAATACTTGTCTTTTGCCTGCCAAAACAAATGCACAGTTATCACCTCCATAAAAACAAAGAAAAACTGTCAAGTGTAATAAGGAAGCGCTACAGATTATTACGTTTTCTGTGTTGTTTACAAAGTGTGTGTGTGTGAAGAGAAAAAGTCTTTGTTTGGCCGCCATTTTGAATTTATAATGAAGTCATTAGCGACATCTTAAATTAGCAAATTAGTTCTCTCGCTAAAAAGACATGCTCACGAAAAAGACATGTTTTACAGTATATATATACATGTTTATAGAGTATTTAAGTTTCATACTCCAAGGTCAACTGGTATTGAAATGTAGTAATCATTCATATTTGGCAGTATAATCCCAGGGTCCTTCCCAGGTAGTTATAAAGTAGGGGATCCCAACTGTTTGATAAACAATAGAGCAAATTTAGCATAACCATGTTTACAATAGAGTTGAATAACAGGGGGAACCCTGAGTATGTCATCAAATTTGTTTCATTTTTATTGTTGAATATAGCTTGCTATCAGTTTCAATATTATTCAAATTAATGGGGAAATGTGTCAAAGTGGGGAAAAGTTCACAAGGATGTCAGGAGTGGGAGCTGGACTTGTTTCTGCAAATGATATTCTAACAAAGTAAAAAAATAGTAGACCTTTGTATGGCAACCAAAAAATGTAATTAATTAATTAATTAATTTATTTATTTATTTATTTATTTATTTATTTATTTATTTATTTATTTATTTATTTATTTATTTATTTATTTATTTATTTAGTAAAATTTCTGTTGTTGGGTTATAATGATGATATATAATGATGATAGTAAATGTAGTGATTTCCAATTGTTGTGTCATACAACAAAGTTAATGTACATTATTTATGCTAGGATACCATGTAGGTGATAGTGTTGATTTTTTTGCAAAAGTGAGTGTTATACAATCAATGAGGTAAAAAAATAGTTTTACTTCTAGTCATCACGTGTGTCAGTTCAAAACCTATGACTCAAACATTACTACATGTATTAAAAAGCATTGTTGAACATACATGTACACTGTTATATCTTGTGGTATTTTTTGGAAACAAACATCTAGGCATTTTCATCACCTGGCAATCACAACCAGTGAAAATAACGATCGAAAAATCATTGTCATAAGATTAACCCTACTACCGGTATGGGCAAAATATATAGAATTAGTTGATCCGATTACTTCAAAAGTTGCGTTTGTGCTGTTTCCTCGTCTTAAGCCGTTTTCACCAGAAATCATATATAAGAGATCTTACTATAGTTACAGAATTTGTAATTTTAAAAATAGAAATGATAATGCAATTCTAATATTATAAATAATAGTGTAAAAACAACACAACATTTTCGTTTGTGCACCTTTACAGCCAATTGGATTTTTTACTTGAAGACGTCTTCCCAGCAGTCTTTGAGTCTTCTGACTCAACTTTGGAGGGTTTTATTTTGACACGCAGGGGGGCGTTCCTGTTAGCGAACTATGAACATCAAACCTTATATGTACTTTCTAGGTTAAGCAACATTCAAAAACGGTGTAATTTATAACTTTACTGATAACATGAGTCAGGTTTTGATCAGGATGGCTTACAAACACCATACATTTCAAATTTGCTTATTGGTCTAAGTTATTTAAATTTTGAATGGCTTTAAACAAAATAATACATCAATACAAAATTAAAAGAAGTAGGACTTGCATATAATTCTTACCACTACCAGTAGTAATTGTCAATGGTCTGTTAAACCCTTTGAATGCTGTTTCAGACCAAAATTGTAATGCATCATTTTCATATTTTTCTATAATTTCTTGGCTAAATTTAAACCAAATCAAATGGACATAATTTACTATTATCTAAAAGTCTTGTCCAAAATGTAAGAAAAAGTATGGAAATAATTATGCTGGTTTATTTTGTAAAAGTGACAAGAGTGGATAAATTAAGGGTTAGAAATTGCTGTTTTAATAAGTGATTTTCTGTTCACTGCGAGATCTTGCGTATTGCGTATTTTTCTACCGCAAAAATCAATTGATTTTTTTTATAGATCAGTGTTGAAACATGGATCTGTCATAGGGGAAAAATGGTATTGAAATACCCATTACTTTATCAAAATCGACAATTATCAAATGGTGCATAGCACATTAAATAAGCATGGAAAGAAATTGTTTTGTGTTTGTTGAATCTAATGCGATGCCGCTATAATGACGCTTTGTCCTGTTTTTATATTCAATTTCACACACAACACAGGATCTTACAATGAATGGAAAATTGTCTATTATGTCATGTTTTTCATATTCATAGTCTATTGATTATACTGTAACGGGTAATCAGAATGATTTATCAATACTGTTAAATACTTTATTTTCGCTTGGAATTATTTTACGCTATTTTCGCTGAAGGATTGATTCAGTGAAAATAAAATCCAGCAAATATACCTTTTTTCCTATATTTTACATTTTTTAACTTGTCAAAAATCACTGAAAATTTATTCCTTACAAAACACCAAAAAAATCTTTTCAGCAAAAATTAATTCCAGCTAAAGTATTATACAGTAATTTAAAGTAAATATTATGCAAATAATGTTACATTTTATATTAACTGGTACTACTGTATTGTTAATTTCATAGGTTGTTTTCTGTTATAATTGTAGGCAATTCTGAATAAAAATATTTTTGTTCTCTGCACAATTGTTTTTTGTTGTTTATTGACTATCCATCTTGCATTTGATGCTGTGCAATCAGATCACGAGATTTCAAAATTCATTCATTTCCGAATTAGCCAAAGTTACTGAAATGGGGCATACAACTACTTTGGTGTACACAGCAAACATGCATGGGACACTCATTTTCTCATGTTCTGACAAATTACAAAATGCAACTATGTTTTAAACCATAAAATCCTTTTATTGAAATAAGAACAAGTGGAAATGTATTACAAAGAGAAATAATAAGAAATAATAGTCTACCCATATATGGAAGTGGAAAAAAAAGTACACAATGTATTCATCCTTATTACTGACACACAGACAATAGCTATAGGCCTCGTGTATACACTTTCTAGGACAATACAGCAATAATTTTCAATATTGTTTTGTGACTTCAATGATAACTTGTTGCATTTTAAGAAAATATGATTTTGAAGTGAATTTGTACCACCACCTTTTTGGGTCATGCCAAGTACCAAGATGTGCGACCTTTTGGAGGGTCATGCCAAGTACCAGGATGTGTGACCTTTTTGGTCGTGCATAAGGTTCAAAGAACAAAATTTCATATATTTTTAGGTGATCTGAAACATTTTGCACTGAGATCTGCATACACTATTATTGGCATTTTTTTGTGGTCAAGCCATGCACTTCAAAATTCACTATTTTCATGTCATTGTGTATGATTAGTATGAAGATAGTTGCATTATATTGTCTCATAGGTATTGGGCTTTACGTAAATAAAGTATTGCTATACATTATTCTGTCAAAGGTATCAGTATTTCAAATCTAGGAAGAACAGCCATTGTACAAGTTAACATGAACAACACTTTGAGTGCCATAATTTTGTGTTACATTTTGCCCATTTTCTTCTTCTACGGTAATTTTTAACCAAAGGGACATGATTTCCTATCGCCTACAGGTTTTGATTAAAATTTTGGACAAAATTAGAAAAAGAAATTGTATTTGTCGTATATTGTAAAAAGTGACAAAAGTTGGCACTCAAAAAGTTTACGAAGGAAGTGACAATTTTTGAACAATTCTGGATATGTTATTGAGGGATGAACCATTATTTTAGGAGAGGTATAATTACCAGGCAGCCCCCTCCCCTTGAAAATGTTCCAACCCTTATTGATTTTGAAAACATTTTGCTAAAAAGTGATATTACAGAGATTCTGAGAAAGACAATAATATGCACAACATGATAAGATGTACTCAAATTCCTGGAAGTCAAAAGAACCGTTCACATACTATATCAATATCGATAATTTTTAAAAAGCAACTCTCTCGTAATGCGAAGTACATCAATTTCTATGGCAATTCAAATTATAAAGCGTAGACATCTATAACAAATATGCGATATGTGTGTGGGAAATATTCTTGTAAATTCATTGATATAATTTACTTTAAGTGACAATCGTCAAACTACTGCGCAAGTCTGAAGCAAATCAGAAAAAAACATATCTCACATATGCTTTCTCATTTCACAAATACCACTAAAATGTGAAGTACCAAAATGGGTGGGCATGATACCGACAGTATTCGACTACTCAATTAAAGGAGAAACACTGAGAATCCTGATAAATACGACATTGTCACAAGGATACTGCAAAGTATATGCCAATGCAGGGCAGGACTGCGCCAACTTTTACCATGCACACTGTGTGTTATTGTCACGGCCATTTTAATATTATACATCTTTTACTGCTCGTATTCAGAAATTAGTGAGAGAAAACCCAAAGTATAATTGAGCAATTAGCTGCGTTCAGTGTCACAATTGTATTTGTGACACATGTTACATTGTTCATGTAGACAATGGAAAAAATAAATGAAAATACAATGCAACTCAAATGCATCGGCAACAAACTTGCAGATTCAAAATACAGATTCCACATTACTTTTCAGATTACAAAAAACAAGGGCATCACATTTTTCCCCAAGTTTATTTTCAAGCTGTATGAGCAAAAAAAAGAATGTTAGATAGTCTAGGCTAACAATGGTGACACCACTATTGGTGCCAACAAAAAAAGAAGAAAAAATAGTATACATGATTTTGTAACCAAACACATCTTGTTACCATAGTGACCATCTTGCCAGTCCAGCTGACTTACACCCAAGGTTTTGAAAAATAAATAAAACTGATCTCTATATTAAAAAGTAAGACATTTATACTAGAATTGATTTTTATCCTAATCTTCATTTTGAAATAATTGAATAATGGAGAAAAAATTCAAATAAACATTTTTGAGTTGGAAGATGATTAGAGGAAAAGACTTTGAGGATTATTTTTTTTTGCCACAAAGCAAAGTCGGTTGTTAAAAAAAAATCACACTGAGTGTGAGAAAAGACGCACTCCATCTTCCCAGATTTTCAATTCGGAGTGCCAGCAATGTTTGCCTCAAAAGTTTGCGAAGACTAAAACACACTGTTAAAACCATAATGATTCATGCAGACTTTTCTCTCATGACACAAAAAGGCTCACAGTACAATCAAATTTACAGTTTTCTGTTCAGCTATTTAAAAATATAATTCATTACAAAACAGTGAATTTCATGTGGGCATTAATGTTTTTTTATATATAAAATATTTACAAATTTTTCATGAATTCTGATTTATGAATGAAAACAACTCAACCAATCACAACGTGTTGACAGAGGCATGGCAGTAAATCGGCGAAAGATTAAAAGACAGCGTAGGATTCTACCAGGGTAAATGTTTTATGAATAAAAAAACATTAATGCATTCATAAACTTCACTGTAATTGCATAAACAAAGCTTTGTCTGAAAATCCAACCACAAGAGATACTGCAAAATTTTGAAGAAATAAAACTTTCGTGTATGAATCCCAGCATGCATTCTCCGAAATAACACACAAGGGCTGTATCAATAAATCCCAGCATGCATTAGTGCAGCAATTTTCTATGAGGGCAGTATCCCAATATGTACTATAATACTTTCTCAGAAATAACACATGAGGGCAGTATAACAACTCCAATAATACAACGAATAACAACAGGTTTACAAATTATAAGGTCTAGACAAATTACGAAAATGTTTCAATTAATGATATTTTGTAAATATTAGGGAAGAAAAATGGAGCAGGAAATATAAGATATGATTTGTAAAATTTAAAGTTAGACAAGAATAAAAATTCTTTTTTAAAATACTTGTGATCAGTAACGGAAAATTTAGCTTTGTAATAAAGTGAATCTATTGACCACATTTAACTACTGTGCAACCAATTACATAGACAGAAATAAACAAATTAATAGATATCACAGTACATTAAATAAATCATGAACAAGATACATTAATATATAATTAAAAAGAAATAATTATACTGCTATATGTAGTTCTGAATAAATATTCCACATAGATATGTACAGGCAATACTTACAGCTGTGCTATATAACGTAAGTATTGGATTTTTTCTATCAGCAATTTCAATCAAAATTTCATATTAATTTTTCCTTCAATGCAGAAAAAAAATGCATTTCATTCAGAAAATTTCTATGATTAATTTTAGTTTGATGTTGCAAATATTTTAATAATTATATTTTAACAGATATTTTGTGATATGACACTAAAATGAGAAAAATCATATTTAAAAAGGTAAATCTTGCAATTTTCTAATAATAAAAATGATTTCTTTTCCAATGAATTTACTGTTACCTATGTAACCATGTCACATACAACATAGCATGAAATATGCAGTAGAGTTTTACAAATGTAACATTTACACCATATTTCATACAAATGATTGTGAGGGTCTATATTTACACAGCTTTGTCTTGCTTATACCTTTCTAACAATATTAAAAGAGAATCAAAAAATTCTAATAAGAAAATGACATTATTGATTAGTTTTATGGAGGGATAATCGTTCATGGAGGGTTATTTAATAAACTTCAATGATTTTCACAAAGCAATGAAAACAGTCAAAACGATTGTTAACTACCCAAAACAACTGTATTGACATATATGTAACATCAACAAATTGGCAAGTGCATCAGCTGTTGCAAAAATCTGGCAAATATTGTTTTTGAAAAAATAATTGGAGGGAAAAAACATTCTGCAAAATTCACACTTTAATTATGTAAGGAAATTTTTTTACTTTTGAATATGCAGAGAAGACAATTAAATAAAATGCGGCCTCAGGTTAGTTTAACTGTCTCAGTGTTTGATGAAATACTTTCAGGTAAATACTACCATTTTTGTCAATAGAATTTTTAAGCATATCGCCGTGCCAATATGTCAAAGAAAAAATAATATGCAGTAGACCATTCATGTTGACGTACAAATTTTGGAAGGATTCTTTTTTTTTTTTTGGAAGTGATGTTATTTTTGTCATGTTTTTCAAAGTAAAACCCCGGAGCTGAAAACTGGAACAATGCTGGTATCAAAAAATGTGTGAAAGTTTCTAGTTTGGTGAGTAAACATGTACCGAATTTACATGGTTTGAAACCAAACATTCTTTTAAAATGGAGGGTCACTAGAAAATTTGTAAGAAATAGAACATGATTATTTACAAGATTCTACAAAAAGGAAATCTATCAAAAAATGAATACTCGACTGAAATACAAGTAAACTGTCACATTTCATACAATGAGATGAATTCTAATCTCTGATTGGATGTGAATTCTAATCTCTGATTGGATGTGAATTTGAATCTCTGATTAGATGTGAATTCTAATCTCTGATTGGATGTTTCAGGAATAGTGTTCTGTAAATTTCTCTCTACATGCAGCTGTCTGGGTCTGGATGAATCAATGGATGGAGGTTGAATAGTACAGCTACAAATGCAGCACTACCTCTTATCTATAACAACTTTTTCAAAAGCACCGGCAGTCATTCTGTAAGAAAAACAGAAAATACATTTTATCAAAGTGAAATACCACCACTAGTACCAGTAGTTGAATTGTTAATTTTTGTTAAGGATGTAGATGTAGCAAACTAGTAGCGTTAAATCCTACATTTTGAATGCTGGTAGTTCAATGAAAAACCAGCATATAACAATTTAAGCCATCACCTTTGCTCAAGAAGTTGTATGGATAAATTGGCTAATAAGGCTATAAATTAGCCAAAATTTGAATTACTGAGACCAAAGATTAGCTTAATTAGCCACATTTTGAATTCACAAGGCTATAAATTAGCCACAGTTTGAATTATTAGATTAGCTTGGCCACAGTTTAGCAATGTAACAAAAGGTAAATATTAAAGTGCACCCACCTGTTTTTTATTTGCTGACTACCGAGGGCAGTAGAACCATCTTTCGCTATAAATAACTGAAGACCTTCTTCATCTATGGAACAAAAGAAGAGATGAAGTCAAGCTATGCGCAAGTGAGAATCACATGTCAATGGACATGTTGCCATAACACATTCCACCTTCTTGCCTATATTTTGTAATTGTCTCTTTTGAATCTCCAACCAGTGGCTTTAGTTTTCCTTTTGAATCTCAACCAGTGGCTTTAGTTTTCCTTTTGAATCTCAACCAGTGGCTTTAGTTTTCCCTTTGAATCTCAACCAGTGGCTTTGGCCTCCCCTTTGCATCTCAACCAGTGGCTTTGGCCTACCCTTTGAATCTCAACCAGTGGTTTTGGCCTACCCTTTGAATCTCAGCCAGTGGCTTTAGTTTTCCCTTTGAATCTCAACCAGTGGCTTTAGTTTTCCCTTTGAATCTCAACCAGTGGCTTTGGCCTCCCCTTTGCATCTCAACCAGTGGCTTTGGCCTACCCTTTGAATCTCAACCAGTGGTTTTGGCCTACCCTTTGAATCTCAGCCAGTGGCTTTAGTTTTCCCTTTGAATCTCAACCAGTGGCTTTAGTTTTCCCTTTGAATCTCAACCAGTGGCTTTGGCCTCCCCTTTGAATCTCAACCAGTGGCTTTGGCCTACCCTTTGAATCTCAACCAGTGGCTTTGGCCTACCCTTTGAATCTCAACCAGTGGCTTTGGCCTACCCTTTGAATCTCAACCAGTGGCTTTAGTTTTCCCTTTGAATCTCAACCAGTGGCTTTGGCCTCCCCTTTGCATCTCAACCAGTGGCTTTAGTTTTCCCTTTGAATCTCAACCAGTGGCTTTGGCCTCCCCTTTGCATCTCAACCAGTGGCTTTGGCCTACCCTTTGAATCTCAACCAGTGGCTTTGGCCTCCAATTTGAATCTCAGCCAGTGGCTTTGGCCTCCCCTTTGAATCTCAGCCAGTGACTTTGGCCTACCCTTTGAATCTCAACCAGTGGCTTTGGCCTCGAATTTGAATCTCAGCCAGTGGCTTTGGCCTCCCCTTTGAATCTCAGCCAGTGACTTTGGCCTCGAATTTGAATCTCAACCAGTGGCTTTGGCTTCCAATTTGAATCTCAGCCAGTGCTTTTGACCTCCCTGTTGAATTTCGTCGAGTGGGTGTAGCCTTTTAATCTTGGCTCACTCAACCAGTGTATTAGCGCAGGGCTATCCTTTTTTCCAAATTGGATACGAAACATGTTCGTTCTTTTAAGTTAAAATTGGAAGGAAGTATTCATTTCCATATCAAGTGCTATCATGTAGTTGTAACACAACAGTTTGTTGTCATTTATAATGTGACTATAAAGTTCTTTATTTTTCCTTTGTTTTTTTAACTTACCACCCGATTTATTATCATTATCAGCCGTAAAGTCCTGTTGTTTGATTAAATTCGCTATTAACTCATCAGCGTTAATTCTTGTACAGTCTACTCGTCGGTTCTGATCTTCCTTCTGCAAAAAATATAATAATGAGTAATTAAACCTTTGAGCACCAAATCTTCCTCCTGCTCAAAATTGGGTAAACATGTTTACTGTAATGTTCACTGAATTCAGTTTTAATTTAAGTCCAAACAGACTATTAAATGTGACATTGCTTCTACTTTTCAATCAAAACATTGTAAACAATTTTTTGGAAAATTTCTATATGGAAAAGACTAGATTATATATGGAAAAATTTTGTGGATGGTGACTGAAGTAAGTTGACTTTGGTATTCAAATGGTTTATCAAATCTTACAAAGTGCCATGCATGCACGCATAATACATAAACATGAATGGTGCAGAATAAGGAAGGAGACTTCAAACTTTAAACCAACATAAAGACAGCAAAAACTTATTACTTACTTACATACATACATACACACACACGCACGCACGCGCACGCACACGCACACGCACACGCACACACACACACACACACACACACACACACACACACACACACACACACACACACACACATACATACACAACTGCAATCACTTTCACTAATTAATGAGTGTTTCGGGTAGCTCAATATTTTCTAAATTATGAATAAGAATTAGAGATTTTTATGATTTCAGAGCTTTACATTATAACACAATAATGTAAACCTCTATTTGCAAGTAAATTCATTTCAACAACAAAAACTAAATATTTAAAAAAAATTAAACAAATTTAACTAAATATGTTTAATTCTGATAGCAGTGATTTAAAACAACAATAATGAATCTCTTCAGTGTCATATTGGATTCAAAGAAGGATCTAAATGTGATTAACGTGTTCGGCTCAACCTTATAGCATATCTTGCTATAAATATCTGTCTAATCTTATCTCAGTGATTGCTAGGGGTGGTAGAACAAATGCAAGGAGACAGCACTGTATAGTGGATGTCCATAGCAAAAGCAGTGATGAGTGAGTGATAGCAAAAGTCGAGAAGGAAAAGTACAAAACAGGAACAGACAAGTGTAGCAGGATGCATTCTTTTTTACCCCTTTTGAATCATTTTCATAGAAGCTCCTGAAGAAGGGATGTTTTGGCAACAGCGCCCTCTAATTAGACCAAACTCAACTGACTCACATACCCGTCGTCTCTCAGTAGAACCAGTCCATGAATTCCTGCTTGATTCGGTGTCATTTATGCTGGTACCACTGGAGAATGGTTCTGTGGTGCTTGAAGATCTGGAATGTGTACTTCCTCCCCTGGAATGTTGGCTGTTACAACTTGAACTTCTTGAATGCCCTTTGGTGAATAAGTCATCTGCGCCTACAGCGCCCTCATGTTCAGGAGTTGTCCAACCTTTTCAATTGATTATAAAAGACACAGATTAAGTAGAAGTTAAACTTTAATTTCATGAGACAAATATTCATGAATTTTGCATACCAGTTAAATAGCACAAAATTTACTAGCTTCCATTAAGGAGCCATAGTGACTTTCAAAGGAGTCTCAAGAACTCATAGTGACTTTCAGTAGGGTCCTAGGGACTCATAGTGACTTTCAGTGGGGTCCTAGGGACTCATAGTAACTTTCAGTGGAGTCCTAGGAACTCAGTGACTTTCAGTGGGGTCCTAGGGACTCATAGTAATTTTCAGTGGGGTCCTAGGGACTCAGTGACTTTTAGTGGGGTCCTGGGGACTCATAGTAATTTTCAGTGGGGTCCTAGGGACTCAGTGACTTTTAGTGGAGTCCTAGGGACTCATAGTAATTTTCAGTGGGGTCCTAGGGACTCAGTGACTTTCAGTGGGGTCCTAGGGACTCATAGTAATTTTCAGTGGGGTCCTAGGGACTCAGTGACTTTTAGTGGGGTCCTAGGGACTCATAGTAATTTTCAGTGGGGTCCTAGGGACTCAGTGACTTTCAGTGGGGTCCTAGGGACTCATAGTAATTTTCAGTGGGGTCCTAGGGACTCATAGTAACTTTCAGTGGGGTCCTAGTCTCATAGTGACTTTTAGTGGAGTCCTAAGAACTCATAGTAACTTTCAATGGGGTTCTAGGGACTCATAGTCACTTTCAGTGGGGTCCTAGGGACTCACAGTGACTTTCGGTGGGGTCCGAGGGACTCATAGTGACTTTTAGTGG